TTTTTTTTTTAACTAGTTTAGTTTATTTTCTAATCAACGTATGAACTTGTTTAATTGATTAATTGCTAGTTGAAATAACTTGGCTTTTCTCAGTTGATTTTAAAATAATTTATCAAATTAAAACATTTTGAAATTTTTCGTCTGTACGTAAATATTAATATTAAATAAAAATAATTCAATACTAAATAACACAAACATTTCTGTCCCTTTTCTTGATAAAATAATTTTATATATTGAYATATTTTATTAGATTAGATACAGACAATCATTCTTTATGTGATTTACAGACTATAATTAAAAAATAAATTAACTTTTTCTAAACTGAGTTAATATTATTTTTCATATTAACTTTTAACTTATTAATCATGTGTCTTCTTGATTTAATTTATCTGGAGTTAATTATTTTTATTAACTTGCCCGCCTTTGCTATTTGGTGTTGTATAAGATTAATTAAAGAAAAAAAACAAACACCCGATGTACGTATTATATGAAACTTGTAGCACTGACCTCCTGTCTCGGTGTTCCAGTAGTACATCAGATCGGAACCATCGTCAGTCCTGGACTGGTGCCAGACGAATTCGGGTTTGGGAGCCGGCACCGGTTTGATGGACACGGGCATGTTGTTTTTCGAATAGCTGATGTTTACGTGTGGCCCTGCCGGCTGCGGAGTCATTATATAAGGCGTAGGACGTATACACAAGCCCTTCTCTTTGATCAGTACTTGTGACGAATAATCAGGATTGTTCTGTATGTCGTTGTAGTACGCTTTCATTGCGTTCTGTAGTATTGTAATACGATTTCAGGTAAAAAAAAAAAATAATAATAATATTTAAAAACTGTTGAACAAACACAACGCATTTTAACTACTTCTTTATTTACGGAATTGTTTCAATAAACTAAATAGTCACAACCCGTCAATAAGGAAAAATTGAGTTTCATAACCAAGTTATACATAAAAAACGAAATTGAATAACTATTTACATGTAATATTGTATAAGGCGGTCCCATAATAAACACGGTGTCACGATTACCATATTATTATTCATGCGGTGGTTGATTTTTTTTCAATAACTTTAATTACTTCGTGAAATGCACAAGTAAAATATCCATCATGCAGTATTATGTAATTTAAAATATAGTAAGGGTTGTAATATAAATTAGATGATATATTTAAAAATACCTGTTCCATTCGTTTCATATCCATTTCAATTTTTTGTTCTTCTTTCCGTTCGATAGCACTATTTTTTTTAATGTCCACCAACCGTTTGGCCACGCTGCTTTGGTGCCGTTTACCATTTTCATGAAATTGAATACTCTGTCAAGCCCGAAAAGATTTATAAAAAATAATTAAATTAATAAATCGACATATTATTATAATATTAAACATTAACCAGATCCCGGTGATAGGTGATAGTAAGTACTAATACGTTGATACATATTCCAAACGTGTTTAATGCTTTAATATAGATTGGCATAAAAAAAAATCTATATAATTATAATATATTATTTTTCTATTATTTAGAATCAAATTTCTATGATATCTTTGGTCTTTGTTAGGGTTGCAAAAAGCTTAGCATCACCGTGTTATTTGTAGTAACAGTGTGACACCCATCGATAACCCAAATCGATATGATTTAAATGCATTAAATAATGAGCGCACACTAATTGCCTATCGATTTAAATAATATAATTCATTTTGAATTGGCTTCTATTTTAGGTAATAATTTTCTTGTCCTTGAATCATTTCCGATAGCTATAAATAATAGATTTCTAGTTCAAATCACAAACAATAAGTTTTTTTAAAAATTAATAACAGTTAAAAGCTCATATAAAGGTACCTAGTAAACTTAGAAAAATATAGGTTGGATTAGATTGGTTTGTCCATCCTTACATTGTAATAAATATTAATAAAAAAAATAAAATGAGTAGGGACTTAATAAAGTAATAAATAAATTTCAACTAAGATAAATAAATAATTATTAATATTTTAGTAAGTATAATGTATTCCAAATGACTGAATAAAAATTTAAAAAGTCAATATACTAACACAGCTTTAATAGTTAGGTAATAATAATAAAAAAAAAATCAATAACCAATAAATCAAATAATTGAGATAAAATACTATTATATTTTATTATAAAAATTTTAAGTTAACTATGTTTCATCTAAGTTTCTTAACTTTTCCAAGAATTAAATTTATTTGCAAATACCTTAAAAAATGTTGAAATTTTAATTGGGCAAACGAAACTGACCGTTTAACTAATGATATTTAATTTAATCGACTGTCAACTAATATTTAGCTTATCAGTGATCGATAAGATTAATTATATGTTGCATTCAAAAACTGTATATATGTATGAATTACTGTTGTCTAAAAAATAAAATTCTTAAACACTAAAATAAAATAAAATTTCAAAACTATAATAATAATATATAAAATAAAATAATTAATAGTACACGTACAGTGATCGATACATTATTATTAATTAATAATCTAGGTATGCTAAGGAGGCAATTTGAGTAGACCGTTTAGATATAAATACTCGAATTGTTTCCAAAAACACTCGGTGCCTCCGAATGAAMAAAGGTCATTTATACCCTTATATGAGACATTGCGAGGCACAATTCGAGGGTCACCTAAATAATAGTAAACACATCGATATCATAATAATTATAAATGRTATATTATGTACTCACAGGTTTGTTATCTGCAATCCAACATTTACAAAAGTCACAAAATTTCTTGCCAGTAGATTTCCAAAACTCTGTCCTGCAGAAAAATATGCATTCATCAATGACACATCATAAAATCTGATACATTAAACTATTTATTTTTAACACATTATATTTTATTACACATAGTCACACTTCAACACTATTTTCAGTTTATAATAGTTTAAACACTCTATGCAGTTGGCTGCTTATGAGTTTCTAAAAATTAAAAAGATCGTTATCATTTTAAGACACAACTAGGTATAATAAACGAGAAAATGAGAAATAGTTCTGCTTTTAAATACTTAGATTAGTTGATAACTTAACACCATAATTTTTAACTATGCATTTTTTATTTTTTATTTTTTATTTTTTATTTTTTATTTTTTTATTATTTTTTTTATTATAATTTTTATTTTAATGATATTTATAGTTGACATATTTCTTGAACTACTCTTGAGTTTTCTTAGAAACACCGCATTTAAAATATATTAACATAGTCTTACTTATCGATTTCGTAAAGAATTATTTACTATTTATCTTATGTTATGATGTATTGAATGTACGATAAGTTTGTTTATCGCATAATTAAAAAAAATATATATATATAAATATAAACAGTTGACAGCAGTCATAGTGAAATTGAATATTACTAGATGAATCATGTTGAGTTTGGTTATACACTATTATACATTGAGCATACTACATATTTCCATATTTAGGTAAATCTACTAGGGCTAAGGATATTTCAAATGTTGATACCGAAGTATAACTACTACATTAAAATATCTTAATTCGTGGTCTATATTATAACTAGTTATATAGTATTTTTGATTATTATTTTGCCTTGGTAAATACTGAAAACGCCATACCTCGATAATCGATAATTTCGATGAATTTAGAAGTGTTTTAACCAAGAAAAATTGTAAATTTATTTTCAAAAAATATGTTTATAATTATTATGATTGCCTATAAACACATTTTAAGCTATAAATGTGAACGGTATTATACTCATGTGCTAGCTAATGCAATTTGACTTTTTGCATTTTATATAAAAAGATTTAATTATTTTCCAAATAAAAATTTATAATTTAAATATGACTACCATTGATTGATCATTCATCAGTAGTTCCTTAGTTTTTCTTTAGGTTTATGATATCAAATAATAGTCAGCTATAGGCTGTAAGACTGACTTTTAAATTACAGATATAACCAACTATAAAGTCAGCATAACAAAGTTTACTTAAAACGAAGTAATATATTTACATAATGTATGATTAGCCTAATTACATGTAAATAATTCAAAACATACATCTAAAGTTAAAACTCAATGATGACGTACTTATCTCTAAAGTAAAGGTTGGTGTCACCTTAAAGTATTAGAGCCAATTTTATTCCGAACTCATCTTTTACACCAATCCTCTAATCAACCAACCTTTACAAATCTCTATACAGCATCAGCCAAAAGTTTCATTACATCAGCGTAAATAAAACAAATGTATACTTTGACTTTAAACAAGTATAAAATGATAAATAACTTGTTAGTAGGCATGCTGTTTTCTCATTGACGACACATTCTGTTGTCATATGTTTTGTACCAACATAAAACAGACAATTCATCCAACTTATTTACATATTAGAGGTACACATTCCTAGTTTTGATAGTTATTATTTATAAAATGAATAGGGTCGACAATGATTAAAAAATAACAACTGTTAATTACTGTAGAATAATATATTACACAAATATTGTAGGTAGGTACACACTACACACCTATACAAACATATACTTAAGTACCGAATTACGGGCTACTAATAATTCTCTATTATCGAATTAATCGTATATTTCGTTATTTTATTTTATGTTAAATAATTCAATTATTTCAAAATTTAGAATAATTTTCTGAAATCCAGCTGCTGTAATTTAAATCAGTATTCGTTTAGTACTTTAAGTCAAATTAAAAATCATAAAAATATGTTGTTAATTATTTAGTATAATACAATTATAAAATAATACAGTAAATGTAATAATGTCAAAATCAATAAAAAAATATATATAATATTAATATTGAATATCCATTACAGCAATGTGTAAAAATGTAAAAATTTGAAAAATTGCATAATAACATTTTATCATGAAAAAAAAAAATGTTTAAATATATATCTCGCTAGCCCGTTAATAGATCGGTACCCGTTCGTTATTCGTATATAATATAGATAATCGTATTTATAGGTCACATATACTAAACTCGACTTTGGCTCAGTAGGTCACATACTAAAGGAATACCTTTAAATCACATAATATAATATTATTGACAATGTATCTAAATTAAAATATAGCCATATGTTAGTAATGCTGAAGATTGTATTATAATATTATAATATTATAATACGTGGACCCCACCATTGTATAACGCCTAAGAGTTAGATATATACAATCTACCTATTCCAGTATTCCAGAACTAAAGTAAGATTACAGAACGAAAGAACCTACCTATTACAACGTATAATAAAATATTAGATATGCAATATGGTAATAATTGCGCCAATATTTGAAACGAGTGATGTTAAACCCACACAGATTATTACGGTGTGTAATATTACAAAGAGCGCAAACGGAGTAGGTACCCCTTGTCGGCAAAATATGATTATATACATAAATAACACAGATATAATAATATAATACAAAGGGCGAAAAGCTTTCGTTCTTTATTCGCATTATGTACCTRCAGCATAAGTATTGTTTTCATCAGTATTGTAATAACTAATAATACTCTGATGTAACAATATGATGGTGCATCATGTTAGGTTATTGGTAGGTATACTATATAGACATAGATTTCGCCATCACAAAAAAAAAATATATATATGTTACATATAACATATATCAGAAATAGGTATATATTGTTTGTACCTGCGTTGCTATATTGTATCTGAATGCGACGATACAAAAGTGTATTATATTCAGTAACAAACTATATAGATGATTTGTCGTCGTGATCCGCAACGAATACTTTTATCCCAATTCCTGGTTATTATGCCAACGAGCACGCACGCACATTATCTCGCTGTACCTATATCGTATTTTATATAATGAAATACTATACTTTTATCGCGAACAAAGATGTACATCATTGTAACCTTTAACTATTTCAACATCATATAAATAATGTATTTCGTACGTAGGAACTACTACAGTTGTTGATGATAGAAGTAGTGCTATCGAGTGTTTCGACAAAAATCCGTAAAAAATAAAAATTACATAGATAGGTAGAGTCAATATTATACACGACTATATATAGGTAAACACGATACCTATGCTATAAAATATCATTGCAATGACTTTAATCGCGTGTACACAAAATCAATATAGGTAATAAAATAATATACAAAATATGTGTGCAATAATCAAGATATCGGAAAAAATTAAGGCGCCGTTCTATAATCTAACCTACAACCTAACAGTTTTATACGAGTATAATGACGAGTTATAAACATTTTTGCAGCAGACCATGGCGGTGATAGAAAAATCGTTTTGCCTAATGTTTGAAGTATGAAATTTGACTATGTGGTAAAATATTTCACAAAACATAAAAATTGAAATTTTTTCTAATACAAATAGGTATTAATGTTGATTATTTATCAATAACCTGACCAATGAAAGCCATTACTAATGAGTAGTAATAGAGATTGATAACCCTAGTATTATAAAATTGTGAAGATGAGTTATGACAATTGCCTAAATGCAAAAATAAAACCTAAAAAAAATTTAATTTTTAACATTTTAAACATTCACAATTTTAAATTTCATGGAATTTTCAATCATTAGTTTTACCTATCTACCTACTTGAAGAATGGAAGTTCAGGTTGTATACAGATAGTATTACAGACTACAGTATACCTATACTTAGAATCGTTTTACACTGCAACGTTCGAGGTAAGAATTACATCACGACTCACGAATGCCTACGTATAAATATAGAGTGGTAATAATGACACAGGATGATAGACAAATTTTATTTGCTTGTTGATCAACATACCAAAGTTACACATGTTTAATACTATAATATATATACATAATGGATGGTACAAACAATTATACGATATATATAGCGAGTTTCCTGAGGATTCTCAATTAAATTTAAAGTCATATGGTTTCGGTATGTAGTGACCATTGTTCTGACAACTTGAAAGTAGAAAATACTCGTCAGCCCCTTTTTCCAAAATATACAAATTTACGTATGTAGTATATGTTTATAAATTATGTGTTTACTTTAA